AGGTTTAATCCATGCGCCGCGGCTGGTCAGTGCACGCCCACCGATCATCTGATCACTCGCCGCAGGTCTATACGTGGTGAGTGATTAGATAGGTGAGAGAGCGTAGCGTTGAAGAGGGCACAGCGATGATAGTCGCATCAATGCTCAAATCAACGGGCAAGGAAGGGGTCCCATTTCTCGGGTTCTGGGCCGTTTCTCATGGTTTTTCCTTCTTTAGTGTACCACTCACCATCGCTAACTTAATCGTTCCGCGCGGGAACCGCTCTGGTCCAACGGTCATCGCAGAATCGCATGACGTGTCCGGCCCACCTTATCTTCGATTCCTTGGCGAAAACGGCAGCGTCCCTGATCTTCGATCGTTGGCGTAGTTCGGCACTCCGGATTCCCTCTGCACTTGCGTGTGAAGTCATACTGGATCAATAAGTATACGCTTACATCAGGAGCTGATATGGCAAATGGAAACGTGAAATTGTCCACTGATGTTATGAAATTAGGAAAACGGTCAAGGAGATCTTGAGCTCGTCGTGCGCGATTGGTTGCGCGCAGTTGGTACGACTTCTGATTGGTTATCGGCCCACTCTACCGTAATCTCTACATTTGCTTTCGGGGCACGCTATGCACACCAGCCAGGAAATAACAGCAGCGCTCGAAATGACCCGATTATAGATGGTGATGTCCCATGAACCTAGTCAGGCGCAACGGCCTTATAAAAGATCAAACTAGATTGAGTCAACCTTTTTTCTCGGGATGCACCATGCATTTCACTTCCATATGTACGGTCACTTGGAATGCGGTTGAGCCTAAGTGGCGATTTGTTTGGGCCAGGGCGACGTACAACTAGGTGCTTTTAATCTTCCAGTTATGTTTGGTACTGATTATCCGACCCCGGAGGGATGGAAAGTCCCGTGGCTTGCACGGGTTATGGTCCAAAATTTGAACTCCGCGGCCAGCGTACGTGGCAACCTGCGTTCTTCCACATTCCTACCATTGCGCTACGAGTTACTACAACTATTTCAGCGGACAGCACTTGCCCACTACACAACTACAATTAATGAGCTCTTTTCCAAGCCTTTGATAGAGCACTGCACGAAAACGAAGATTGCGGACGAAAGGCTGAGTGAGTTGGCAAAACTTGGCACTACCACACGATACGGGGGCTTTTCTGTGGCAACGCATTTGAAGTAAAACGTCTCCTCGTGTAAAAACAGAACTAAGCCATGAGTGGGAGAGGAAAGACTTCAAGACGCGTGACCAGTTCCCCTTTTCCCCGAAATCCCTGACCTTAGGCTTCCCGATGTCCCTCTCTTAAGCTTAGTCCCAGTGGATGCCCCGCTATCTTGCGATAGTGCCAAAATTGTGGTTGGTGGTTGGATTTTGGACGAATTTGTTCTGGACCTCTTTGCGTTTTGAGCGGTCTATAAATATGAGTTATTGTAAATTTGCAATAACTCCTTTTTCTAACTATTAAATTTGATCACACATTGGCCACGGGTAATGCCTTGTAATTTTCAGGTGCCGAACAAGGCAGAAGCGCTAGATCGGCAGAAATCGCAAAACTGGCCAACGAAAAAAGTATAACGACGAGAGGTGACCATGATCAGTTGGTGACACGACTAAAAGAAGCGGCTAGTCGAGTGACGGAATGGAGTAATACTGGCGAGCATATCATGAACGTTCGCAACAAGGAGGCCAGCAAATATTCAATAATTACGCAGACAAATCGAGGATTTGCCTGAATTCTCCCGAATAATCTAATGCGTAAAGCCGTAATTGTTTCGTAATTGTTTAGGTTACTCTGGCGGAAATGGCGGCGATGTATCGCCTAAGAACGCTGATTAAAATTTCAGCTAATCTGGTTGAGTTAATCGCAAGGGCAAAAATATGGACCAAGGAGAATGTGACGGTAAGTGCCGTTTTTGTTGAAGGAATCTTCGACCACGGACCATGGACCAGTGGGCGGGACCGGAAGTTTTTGTGACGAAATGCATGGTAGGTACGGATCCCACGTGTCGAACGCACGAACGTGAACAGGATTCACTTCAAACCTTCCCATGAACGTGGATCCGTACCTACCATGCATTTCGTCGCAAACCACTTTCGGTCCCGCCCACTGGTCCATGGTCCGTGGAATCTTTAATCTCGTTCCAAGTTGATCGTTTGGCACATTTTGAACATGCGTGTGACGAAATCAACAAGGCCTGTCACAATGGCGAGTGCTCGGGTGGGAAAGTGCAGTGGAAGCACTTCGTCATAATTAATGGAGGCTCAATTTTAGGACTAACGATAAGCTCTAGAGGATAAGAGGGAACACGAGGTGTGTGAGAGATTCTCAATCTCTCCGGAATTCGTCCCTTTCCATAAGGAAGCCCTAGTGGTCTACCTACAAATGCTTTTCCCCTCCGCTCCTTCACCGCAGGCACCTGTTCCCAAATAAAATTACAAACAATTGGCACTGGAGACAAATTTCCGACCAATTGAATCGTTCTACTTTCAACGCCACCCCGTCGAGCTTTTTCTCCTAACCAATGGTCGAACGAGACAATCGTGATGGCTGCCCGTTGCGTTCTGATGACGTCATTGAACGCATTGGAGCGTTAAGGGCCTGCCTACCACCTATCCCCATTTTCCTTTTCCAGTCGCGCTTGTGTCTAATCTAACCAAGGAGCGGCGGACTTTACCCAGATATGCGCCCGCCTCTGTCATCGTGATCACTGTCCTTATAGACAAAAAAAGTACGAATCACATTGTGTCCTGAGAATCGCGTGCCGTGAGGTCATCAGCCCGAAGCAGCGAGCGTGATTCCGTCGACCAGATCGTCTTTTTGTTTGGCCACGGTGAACTGTTTCATCAGCTATAGGTTGTGACTTATAGTTGCGTTTTCCCGCTTATGAGTTACAAACCGGTCAAATCGTCCCGGACATGGCACTGATGGAGTTTCGGCTTTCTCCCGCCAGGAATTTGATTGGGGCGACAACTCCTACTAAATCTTGCCGACTATGTCTCCTCGCCCTCTAAAAAAATACTACCAGGTACCTGCAAGCATGTGAAAATAATGTCGCCACAAATAGGGGACTGTCGCAGACGAGAATCCTCGTACGAGATTCATTGAGGTCCATGCTCGGAATAATTTAGCATGCAAACCTTCTGTTCCAAGCTTAACCATCTGACTCACAACACCCCTCTTCCAAAGAGCATTCTAGCTGTTGCACTACATTAGAGTTTGAATTTAACCTCCGCTAGTTACAGTTGATTGAGAAAAGTCGAACTGGGAATGTGTTGCCGATGACACTCACGATGTTTGAAGCCACGTGTGCAATCGCGGAAATTTTCCAACTGAAATCGATTGATCGATCTACTGCCAAGGTATACTCTGTTTCCGAAAACCAGGTGCTCGTCGAGTGCAGACCACACACCACAAGTGACGACGGCCTCCACAAAATGTTTTCTGCCAATGAAATGATTAGCCTGTTGCAGTTGTATTCTATCAGTTGTCACTAATTACAACTATCATTTACCAACTATCAGCTATCACTATGAACCACTAGTAACCAGATTTACTTGGAGGCCGTCGTCACTTGTGGTGTGTGGTCTGCACTCGACGCGCACCTGGTTCTCGGAAGCATAGGGGACTTGAGGGGATATTTCTCCATCTCTAATCCATATTACCCCTTCCATCATCCACATTTTTTGCAGAAAGAATTTCAACAGTTCCTCCGCGAAAGTTCTAAAAACGAGTACAAATCGGAAGGGGACTCGACTCTAGTTATTGGGAATCCACGAGATTACATACCTCATCTCGAATGCAGAATTAATCACTACAGGCAGGAAAATGCTTACTTGACCTCCAGTAGATTCAAACGCGAGGAAGATAATGAGATAAATAATGAACGAAAACTTCAGGACATGCGTTCATCTTATTGGTAGCGCATTGATAACTACAATTCAAACCTACATGAACTCCATCTCTCTCGAACAAATGGACCTAAGAACGAGGTATGTTCCTTAGAAAGAGATACCTCGGCTCAATGTGTATCGGGGGGGGGGGACGGGTTGGGGTGTTCAGTTTGGAAGAAGGCCACTAAGACGAAGCCTAAAGGAGAGGGACGAATTCCAGAGGGAACGAGAGTCGCTTACACACCTCAGATTCCTTCTTCTTCTCTGAGATTTAGTCCTAAAATTGAGCGTTTCCGTGAATCTACTGCCCCCCCTCACATCTTACGATTCGAAACACAACAAAAGACGAGAAATACATTTGGACAACTGTGCGAGTGGCCGATTGTCAGACTTTGCGATTGGAGCGATTTTGCACCAATTGCAGGAGCGACGGATCGCTCCAAGTGCGAGCGACGGGAGATTTACCCGAGCGGCGCCGTGTGTATCGGTCGTCGGCGGGTAAATCTCCCGTCGCTCGCACTTTGGAGCGATCCGTCGCTCCTGCAATTGGTGCAAAATCGCTCCAATCGCAAAGTCTGACATCGGCCAGTCCATGCTATAGTCAGCTTTCCAAAATTAATTGAGCTAGCGTGACACGTCTACTGACCCAGACTGTTCTAGTATCCATAGGTTCGGGTTAGGACGGTAAGAAGCGGTTGAGGAATAATGGCGTGTCCTCATTCATGGCCATTCCACTGTATACTAACGAGGGAGCATGTCATCAGGCTCGTATAAGAAAGTATTCAAGCAAAAGGTGAATGCTGCATGGATGGCTCTAACACTACTACTTTTTGCAGAGAAGTCAAGGAAGTACTGGACAGGCTTCCTCCTATGTACACGAAAGTCGCGACTGAGCTTGAATTCTGATTACACACAAAGTTAATTGCAAGAATATCGCCGAACAAATTACATCCCCTGGCTCCAGCAGGTATGAATCCCGACTTAATATTTGTTTTTATTTATTTGTTTGAATTCCACAGCGTGGATAGAGAAGGGTGATTTTCGTCTTCTCCTTAACACTGTAGTAGATCGCAAGAGTTAAGTGGTAAGCGATGCGGGCTAGCAAATCAACTCCCACTTACTTATTCTCTCGCCCCCCCCAACTCGTACCCGCTCTGATTGACTTCGAACTATGCTCAACGTGAAATGCTGCCACACTATCAACTTCGCTCCAAAACAACAAAAGTACGTCGAGCACTTCCCACCAGAAGTTCTTTGAATTTCTCCAGATTTCACAAAAAAAGTATGCACACCGTTTAAACATCTTTCATCCAGCAATATGCAGTACATCAGGGTTGGTTACTAACGATTGTTATGCTTCCAATTTTTCTACCGACAACCGCCCCAGGGTGGACTTGAAACCCCTATCATTCGCACCTCACTACTGACTATCATCCTATCTATGGTCTATACAACAATCAATCCCGCAAGGGGGGGACAGCAAAGAAGCGGAATACGTCCCTCTCCTCTCTATAAACTCAACAGGGTACGACCCCCCCTCCAATCTCCCCATTGTTACTAAAAACGTAGGTAGTTGACCCTGGTACTACATCCGCCGAATCTACTCTTCCCCCAAATCAACAAAATCAAATCTCACCTTTCGAACTGAATTGTATTTAATTTCCGATCCAAACACGCATTCAAATATAAAAGGAACGGTGGTCTCCCACGTTATGTTCTGCCATGACTTGGGCTTATGCATGTATTCTTAGGGTGCAGGGACTACGGTACTCCCTGCAGGTCTGATAGAATCGAAGGGAGCCCAGTTGAACACTTACCTAGGACCCAAGTGGGGCGCTCCAGAGCGAGTTTGTACGAGTACGTAGCTGGTGGTGAGCGACCGTTCGTCTTACTTGTTCCCATTCATGGGAGATTATTCCTGGGAGGACTAAGAAGGCATCACAAGGATGCTGGGTAATGGGCAAAACACTAGCCGGCTCATCAGGTTATACGTAGACATTAATAAGCTATAGGTAAATATACAGATGAAGCCTGGGTAAAGGTTACGAGATGACCGTTGGTCGCAATCGGTAGCACAATCGCCTGTGAAGCAAGTGCTACAGGTTCCGCTCCCGCTCTTCCATGTTTTGCCCATAACGCTTCACTTGTGAACTTTTCACCAGGCTAAAAACAGCAGCTGTCTCTGAAAAAGGCAAGGGATCAGATTATTATTTTGTGTGATGAAGAAAAGAAGTGATCACAGCCCGATGTATTCATTAGTGTTGCAGGTCGACACAATGGATCCTTCAAAACGTCGATCAGGAGGATCTGTCGAGAAAGAGGATCAAGGAACAAAAAAAGTGGTCAAAGAGAGCAGCATCGAGAAACAACGAGAAAAAATGTTGGTCATACGTTTGAAACTAATTTTATTAGGAGACCAAATGTCAAAAAATGGGTTGTTGTTGGAAGGAAGCATATTGCAGGGGGAGGTGAGGGCGGAACAAAGATCTCTCTCAAGTAACAACGTAGGGGTAGAATTCAGCGATGAGTGGAGAACCATCTTAAACCTTTCCTTCTTTCTTACTCTGCGGTAGAATGTGGCTTTTCTGTAGTTCATTACACAATATTGGTAAAAGAGAATATACATTCATTTTGGAATGTGCCTCGCTTAGGATTCCCATCCAAGATCGTGAAAGCCTTCCTGCACATTCGCACAGAGCAAGCTCTAATTGTCTGCGCTCACTAGCCGAAAGCGAATTTGGAAATCTTTTGAGTTTAACGACTTTGTTACCGTACCCAGTCGTTGAGGGTCTAATGATATGGATGGGCAGAGGCGGGATTGCAAGATTTCGTCGACAGAACTGTCTCGAGTTAAAGAAAAAATGGTAATGCTATCGCTGAAGTGGTCCACGAAGCGTATCCGCCTAGCTAGGAGATATAGATTTCGAGCTGCATTTGGTCCAGACCTAGATTACTAGTGTTACTCCATGATAGAACATAACCATGGAACAGGCACTGAAATTCTTGGCTCTACGCTTATGTCCTTGGTTGAGGGGGTTCAAAACAGGGCCAATGGTAGGTGAAAATAGGACTAAGGTAAGTCCAGGAGAGGAAAGCAACGCTAGAGAGCACAATCTGCTCACATTCTCCCCTTGAGTCGCTTCCCCTCTCTGAGGCGAAGTCCCAGGTTTGGTAAATAGTTCACTCACTTGGAAATGTCACCCCCCCCCCACCGACATCAGCGCTATATACGATCAGATGGATAGTTGGGAGAAGAATCGGCTCTGTATGAGCGACCACATCGCCTAAGCATTAATCCTCACCCCCCCCCCCTCTCCTTCTCCCTCTCCACTGAACCAAGCGAGCTGGCTAATCGTTATACTATAAAAAGTTAGTAGCATTGATGTAAATGTCAAAAATCTATCTATCATCGGGGTCTATGGGGTAAATGAGCATCGAATGGTGTCAAGCTAAAAAGGATACCATAATAGAATGTAGTGGAAATGCTAGCGCACTAGTCGGACTCTCGAGAGTGCAGCGTTAACCTCTTAAAGGAATCCTTCGCGGAAAATTCTTGCATTCTTTCTTGACATGAATGTGTCAGTTGTGATCACTGGAAACAGCACACAAAGTTTCACGCATGAAGATTCGGTTTCCGAAGAGAAACAAACGTACAAAAACTACACTTATGGACATCGAAGGTAATTCGGGCGGAGCCAAACGAGGCATGGAAAGAAGTTGGCCTTTGGCCGGCTACGTATCAGGCGACGCAATGAAAGAATCGGGTTAAAGCGCGCGATTTCGGAGAGTAGAGACAAATCGATCGATAGAATAGGATGGAGTAGAAGTGTAAGATGTGAATGCAATAAAGCAGAAAGAGTTTCTAGTGAAGGCACTCCAAGAACCAAGTGGAAGCATCCCCGTCGCCAGCATTTGTGAAAGACGTCCGTGGGCACTTTGAACGCGTAGCAGCCCTTTCGATTTTTTCGAATTTTTTACCAAAACGAAAGCAATATTTCTGTTCTTTTCATTCTTATCGTGGATAATGAGTCTCAAGCCAGTGATTTATGGCTGAAATAAAAGCATGATTTTTCCGCGAAGGATTCCTTTAATAAATATGGTTTCTGAGCTCCCTAAGGTTTGCAGCAAACAGCACAAATATTCTTTTATGAAAAGTGTTCGAAGAGACCCAGAACCACATACGACCCAGCCTGGTCTTTTTAAATTGATACTTAAATTTAAATTGTGAAGTTCAGCGTGAACTCTAAAGAATCGGACACCAAAACTATAGTAGCGGTGAAGAAAGAAAAAGAAGTTACTCAGCCGAGTGTTTCAGAAAGCTGAATGAGGTAATAACATGCTTTAGTAAACCCTTATTAACAGGACTTGATTCACCTCGGAAGCAGCTAGTACAATATAATCGATGTGAAAGAAGGGCGAAGGACGCCCCGTAGGAAATCCTGGGGACGTATAGTACTTTCCTTCCCCCAGACTAGCGAAACAGAAGAGTCCCTTCAATTTATTTGTTTTCAACGGCACTGTTCCCTTACTTTCCGCACTCGTTTGTTTTTAGACACATATGTATATACATTACAAATATACAGTTTCTCAAGGCGATTTCTGCTGGGAAGACAAAGAAAATTAAAAAGTGCTTTTCGTTCCCTAGACTAGGGGAAAAATAGGATATGACCCCTGACCCGAGTAGCAACTGCTTTCGCGGGTCCACG